ATTGTTCTCAGATGGAAATCCTGCTAAAGCAGCCACAATTAGATCATTTTCAGAAATTATCTCCCCTGCAGCTAGCAACTGATCATTGAGATGTTTAAGTCTCAAAAGATACTTCTCAATCGTATCGGTACCCTTTTTAATAGTGTGAAGCTCTGTCTTCAAATGATTGATCCGAGCACGAGACACAATAGCATATCGATCATTAAGATAAGTCCAAGCTTCGTAGGTAGTTTTACTCCCCACAACATATTCAATGGCCTCATCGTCTAAAGTTGCAATTAAGAGACTGAGTAAAGCCTTATCTATTTTGATCCACTATTTATACGCCTCGATGATCTCTTTGGTAACACCAGTATCAAGTGAGATAACATACTTAGGTGGACCAACATTTGTTCCATCAAAGTATTCAAACATATCATAACCTCTAGGACAGAACGAAATTGAAAGGACCACTTTGCAAAGTTATCATCATGCAATCAAATAGTCAACATCCCAAGCAATCCATCAATCTTTAAAGGTGTAGAATTTGGAGAAGCCATAGCTACGAATTTCACTGACCAAACAAGGATGACCACTTCAACAGAAAGAGACTTCGTGTCACAAAAACAATTCACAATCCACAAGCTTCATGCTCAAACAATTCATCAAACAAACAATCTTTGTGCCCTAATTTCAGTAATTTTTCACGAATTCGATAATAGATACAAGCTTAGTGCTCAAAATTTCTTTGCACAATCAACAAAATTGAGCAATTCACAATTCCAGTACTAAGACTTCACAATTCTTCAAGATTTATGACAAATCACAAATCAATTGCAGTAATTTTCAAGATTCTTCAACATTCATCACCAATTCACTGAGGAAAGGGCTTCGTGCCTCAAAATTCTTCAAGTAATTGCCTAAAAAATTTACTCAAATCTCAAGATTGGAACACAAAGAAAAAACCTGATTAAAATTTTCTACCTATCTACCTAATTTGGTGTTTGTTGTCTCTGAATCCAATCCCAATTTGTTTGTTAAAGCTCTTGACAATGAAGTTGTAATTCTTCTTTTATATGTGGACGGCATCATCATCACTGGTTCTCAGCCTGGTTTAGTTCAAGAAGTTATTGATCAGTTGGGAGAAGCGTTGGATATGAAAGATATGGGATTATTAACATTCTTCTTAGGTCTTTAGATTACCTACAAAGATAATGGGGATTTATTCATATCCCAGTCCAAGTATGTAAAAGACTTACTTCATAAAGCATCCATGGATTCCTGCAAATCATGTTCCACTCCCTGCAAGCCCCATACTCAGCTACTGAAAGAAGAAGGCACATTTTTGTCTGATCCTACTTTATTTCGAAGTCTTGTAGGTGCTTTATAGTACCTTACATTTACACGTCCAGATATAGCTTTTGTAGTCAACTATGCTTGTCAGTTTATGTCTACTCCAACATTTATGCATTTTTCCTTAGTGAAAAGGATTTTGCATTATTTACAAGATAATATGGACTGTGGTCTCACCTTTTCTACTGTTGATTCTATGGAGAGTTGCATTCAGCGATGAGATTGGGCATCGGATGTAATCGTCGACGATCGCCGTCGTTGCAGAAAAGATATACTTCGACCTCCAACTCTTTGTCAATCTTCTCCTTCAAGCTCAGGATTCACAGTAACCTGATGCTCTTGATACCATATTAACCATGCAGCAAAAGCTTAAGAACTAAGGAATTGAGGAGCGAAAAGTTTAGAGAGAGAAAGTATAAAAACTGATTTCATTTCAGTAATTGTTAGTTACAACTATTGGCCTTCCTACTATTTATAAGAGCTGAGTTATCTTAACAGCTAAGCAAGCTTCTAACTAATAGAAGCTATACGATTTTGACACATGTATCATCAAGATCATTACACCTGTCCATTTACATCTAATAGTGTGGAGCTGCATCTCCAGCGTGCAAGGAAACACTGCGATCAAAGTTCTCCCTTATACAACAACTGATTTTCTTTTTCTTTTGTTGGGTGCGCCATGGAGTAATTTGGACAGCTAGTTCTTTTGTGGTTTACAATTATATGGCATTTGAAAAGTGGATCTTTTTGCTTTCATCGTAAAGAAATCATTTTATTTTTTAAACAAATGAAAGTAAAGAATTCATTCATGCTCTCCTATCGTTTATGTTGCGTAAGCGGTTCAAATTTTCTTTCCAATAGTTTAGACGAATGTTTGTAGCTAGAATAATGTAACAACTTCCTTTTTTTCAAACATTCATAGCCTAACCCAAAAAACAACCCTCAAGGCCACTTGAGATTTTGGACCAATATAAACCTGTTTGAAGAAGATCAATTGAAACATAGACAGTTTTGTAATCTCTGATTTAGAATCTCAACGAAAGAACCATATTGTTGGGTGCCAGTTCCCATGAAGTATCACTGAATCCTTAACCAAATAAATCAACAAAGAGGCATATATAGATAAAAAAGAGCCTACAGTCAAAATTGGCCGAAAATGGGCCCGTCTGAAGTTCTTATCTAAAATAAGCACATACATCAAAAGTATTTCTAATTGAATTCGTTTGTACAAGAAGCATCTTGAAGTTAATAACGAAAATAACGAGTGCTTACTGAAATGGTTTCTATTTAAAACCACTTCCAGACTAGGGCTGGGCACAGGCCGGGCCATGCCCAAATTTGGAGGGACCGGACCGGACCCGCATGAAAATGCAACGGGCCGGGTCGGGGCGAGTAATGGAATTTCAAATTTTGGAACCGGACCTAACCCGACCGTTTTCAAACAGGCCGATTCGAGCTGGGTTCACGGGTCCAATCTTCTTCTTCTCCGATCTAGAGCCTCGCAGTCTTCGTCTTCTCCGATCTGCAGCAGTTGAGTTGAGCCCATCGTCTTCTCTGATATGGAGCTTTGTAATCTCCGTCTTCTCCGATGGTGAGCTGATTTCGTGAGTCGTGACTCATTTGGTGAGCCTGGTCGCTGCTGTGATTTCGACGCAGTAGAGGGTGGGAGGAAGACCAGAATGAGAACAGAGAAAGAAAGTGGGGGATTTGTACAATCACATAAATCCTATCAGAAAATCAAGCAAATCCCACATCAAGTCAAAATCAAACAAATCCCATATCACAAATACCCCCAAACCAAAATCCATATCTTACTGATTGATCTCAAAAAAAAAAAAAAAAAAAAAAAAAAAAGACACCAAAACCCATATAAAAAAATTCCCCCAAAAAACCAAACAACCCAAAGGGTTTCTCATCTCCTGTGCCTCATCGTTTTCCTTTGTAAATGCCTTCAGACCAATAACACCCATAGTCCTTCTTCTTCCTCTTTGACCCACCCAACACAGGACAAGAGAAAAAAAGCAAGAGGAATCCTATCAATCATTACAACCTTATTTTCTATTCTATTCTATTATATTCTCTTCCATTCCAGAGAGAGGAGAGAGATGAGAGAGAGAAACAAGCAATACCCAATTACTGTACTTCAAATGCTTAACGTCAACGAACTTGTCCTGATGGTGGGTGGGAGGGACCTCGATCGACGACGGAGATGGTGGTCAAGTGGTGGGTAGGATGGACCTCAATCGACGGAGACAGGACGAAATGTTAAGTTCAGGAGAAGGATCGTGAGGGAGAAGTCGAGAGTTCTTAGAGTGTCTTGAGAATTCTACATAATCTAAACAAACGAACGGTGGAGATTTAATCTCCCAGTGGAAACGGTTCGGGCCGGGGCCCCGTTTTATCTGAAATTTGTACCCGCCCCGCCCCGCCCCACTAATTAAATGGACCCCGCCCCGCCCCGCCCCGAATTGCAATTACCCACCCTGACCCGCGGGTGCAGGACCCGTTTGCCCAGCCCTATTCCAGACAGCCCAAAAAACACATTGGTGCATTTACTAACCTAACCTTAGGCTAGTGTTGAAATGATTCAGTTCACCAACAAAATGAAGATTATTATGCTGAATTTAAATTAGCATGCGTCCTATAATGTAAAAATCCCAACAAAAACAAAAACCAAACCAATAAATTAGAGGTGAAAAGACGAAGTTAAGCATGAGCAGCATATACAGCATAACAAGATGTGCTTGAAAAATTGTAATTATTGAGTAGTAATTAGAGCTGCCTTTCGCTCGTGGAAAAAAAAAATCGAAAATCCCAAACCAAATTGAAAACTTCCTGAACCAAAAGTCCTGAACCGTTCGGTACCTGAATAGTTTGGTACGGGATTCGGGATTTCATTCATTACCCTTACTCTCTTGATCTCACTTGAGTCACCTCACTCTCACAGTCTCACTTTGCCTCTCTCTCTCTCTCTTGTCTCTACTCGTTCTCTCCTTCATGTTTAATTAGTTCTGCATACCCTTTACTTTTTTAAGCTTTGTTTGTATAAATTTAATTGATTTTGTGTTTCATGCTTTAATTTTGTATTTTGCTCAAACGGGTATTGTTTGTATAGGTTGTATATCTTAATTTTTTAATCTTTTTTAATTTTCCCAAACCGTACCTAAAATTTTCGGGAATACCGAAATTTTGGTTCAGTTTCGGTTTTTGAAATTCCGTCCCTAAAGGAATTGGCTTGGGATCCTGACCCAAACCACCCTCTAATGGTCTTGTGTGTCACTTTTCCATGTGTGGGTTGTTTTATATTGAGTTTTTGGTTGAAATAATCAACTTCTGACATTTGGTTGCTAAAATAATGTACTTTGAGTATTTCGTCGTTATATCATGGTTGTGTCTTTTGATATTATCGATATGTCGTAAATATATATAAAAATGTGAACACATATTAAAGGTGAATCATTTTAACTGATTGACCTTTATATTATCAAAGTGTTTTTTTGGTTCCGAAATAGTGTTTTGATGTTTTATAGAGATATAAATTAATCGTACGTTCTTTTTCATAAAATACTTTCAAGATTTTTCAAGAAGGAAAGAATTTGAATTTTTGATAAAATTCTAGAAGTGCTTATACCAACTAGGGGTGGACATGGGCTGGGCCGAGCCCAAAATTGGAGGGACCAGACCCGCTTGAAAGTACAGTAGGCCGGGCTGGGCAGATTTTACTATTTTAAAACATAGAACCGGACCGAACCCGGTTTTTACGAGTACATTTTTTTTTCTTTTCTAATTTTCAGTAACCAGAATTACAGATTCCTAGTATCCACCATCGCCAAATCCAACACCTACAACCTATTCGTGACCCTTTTGGAGGGCAAAACTTTAACCCTAAAATTCACAACCCCAGAGATCCCTGCCAGTTCCATCAAGCACCTCCCATACAAAATCTTCAAATACAATTTCGAATTCATAAAAAAATAAAATAAAATTGAATCCCTATGAGAACCATAGATGTCGTATTCCTCACAGATCGAACCAGAGACATCGTCTTCAAGCATTTCTCATTGACCTTGATGCACAAATCGAACCAGAGACGTCATCTTCCCCACGGATCCAAGACCTCCACCCTCGCCATTACAAATTACATCAGTTGATGAATCAAAACAAAATTAGAAACCCACAAAATTCCTAAATCAAAAACCACCATAATTCCTAAATCAATCGAAAAGCTTATGCAAAAACCCTAAATTCCTAAATCAGAAACCCTAATTCATAAATTACCTAGGGATGCCATGATGGAGAGTTAGGAGAGGAAGTCATGATGGTGATCGTGCCTCTCCACCCGGTCCAACCCTTCGCACGCCACCACGTTGCAGATTTGCTTTCCCAAATAAACCTCCGACATCACCTTATTATGGTTGTTCGCCGACCCCTCCAACGAGTCAAATGGGGTCGAGTTAGGCAAGTAGCTTGTACAACTCGAAGACCGAGTTGAACCTGCTAGGTAGCCGATATGGGTCACCAGAGCTTTGGTGAGGTTAAAGTTGTTCAACTGGACGGCTTCCGCGCAGGCCATGATTTGGGAGCCTGGGCTCGAGATTGAGGTTTGAGGTGGGAGCTTGGGCTCGAGATTAAGGTCTGAGACGAGAGATGAAAGGAGATTCAAGGAGGAGAGATCAAGGGAGGAGACTCGGAGTAGGGATAGAAAGAGAGGGTGAGGGGAGAGTTGAGTGAATTGGGTGGGTTTGAGAATAATAGAGAGAGGGTGATAGAAGATTAGTCATTAGAGGGTAGAGATTTAATCAGTAGGCATGAATAGTCTAGGCCGGGGCCCGTTTTCTCCAATTTTTAGAATTGGCTCACCCCATTATTTACCAATTACTGGCCTGCCCCGCCCCGTTTTGTTTTTGTAATTTTTGACCCACCCCGAATTGCAAGGATCTATCCCGACCCGCAGGTCCAGGACCCATTTGCCCCCCTTAATACCAATGCCATTATTCCAAACCATAATTCTTCATTCTCAAACGAATTGCAAAGCAAGTTGTAAGCTAACCAAGAAAAGAAACTTGGACTTTTATTTTGTTGTTGGGAAAATAAGATGTATTCCACAATGAAAAACACAATAAAAAGAAAAAGAGAAAATATAGATAGATAAGTCGGGTAGATAAATTCATAAATGAAACGCACGTGACAATAATAAAAACAAGACCGCAATTTGAGCTAGAAGCAGATTTGTTCCAAGTTTCCCCTCTTAATCAAGTTTACCACTCCTCTTAATTAAGTTTTAGACTCGGTTACTTTTGCATAGACGAAAACACAATTTAGTGCACCATCACATGCCATTATACAAGTTAAAAAATGTGTATTTTTTACGACTAAAATAATGACACGTAATATAATAGCTTGCATTTCCAGTACACTGAAAAATTTCTACTGTTAATGCCCATTTACATCAAGTTACATTTCGAAATATACATTGCTAAAATGGTAATCAGGACTTACAGGACTTGGGCATCACGTAACCCCTGTCCTCCATTACAGACCAAACCCATATGGGTCCCAGCAACAATACTGTCCTACAGTTTTCTCTTATTTTCTCCATATCTCCGCCTACACTTTTCTGATTGCAAAGAAACGCGGCGGTGCATTTTGGGTTTTATGTTTGTGGTTCACCCTTCTATGTCCAGATTGCAAAGAAAGTCGAGACATTCTAGGTTTAGGTTTGCTGGTTTCTTTCCCTCCACCTTCACCTCTCTCTATCTCTCTCTGTATATCAGATTGTAAACAAAGTCTTGCCATTTATATGCATGGTTAGTTATGCTGCTAGAGAATAAGAGGTATAATTAATTTTGTTAGCTCTAACTGAATCTAAAAATTGTTTTGTATACAGAGAGTGCGGTGCTTGGTTTCATTAAAACATTTATGCATAAAAGATAATAGAAAAAGGCCCTTTCATTTGAACTGCATTTTCTTCCATCTTTTCTTATGTTCCTTTTATGTCTCAGTTCTTGACAGTGTTTATAAGAAAAAAAGGGTTTGTTGATTAGTTATTTATGTCAGAATATACATTTTTCGCATTCTCTAGCAACTCTTTGCATTACTTTCTTTTTTGTCATTTTTTCATCTATGAATTTTTAATTTTTTAATCACCTATACTAATATTTTTACCAAGCCTAAGTTCTGACATATATAACTAATCAACAAACCCTTACTTTCTTAAAAAACGGTGACTTGTAATAGAACTTATGCTTGGTAGACATATATTAGTATAGTTGATTAAAAAATAAAAAATTCACATATGAAAAATTGGCTAAAAAGAAAGTAATACAAAGAGTTGCTAGAGAATGTCAAAAAATGTGTATTTTGACATACATAACTAATCAACAAATCCTTTCTTTCTTATAAACAGTGTTAAGAACTGAGACATAAAAGGAACACAAGAACAGATGGACGAAAACGCAGTTCAAATGAAAGGGCATATTTCTATTATCGTTGATGCATAAATGTTTTAATGAAACCAAGCACTGCACTCTGTATACAAAACAATTTTTAGATTCAGTTAGAGCTAAGCAAAATTAATTACGCCTCTTATTCTCTAGCATCATAACTAACTATGCAAGTAAAAGGCAAGACTTTGTTTGCAATATGATAAACAGGGAGAGAGAGGTGAAGGTGGAGAGAAAGAAACCAACAAACCTAAACCCAGAATGCCTCGACTTTCTTATCTAAACAGAAAGAGGGGTGAACCACAAACCTAAAACCCAGAATGCACCGTCACGTTTCTTTGCAATCAGAAAAGTAAAGATGGAGGCATGGAGAAAATAAGATAAAATAAGAGAAAACTATAGTGCAGTACAGTTGCTGGAACCTACATGGGTTTTGTCTATAATTAAAGGCAGGGGGCTACATGATGCCCAAGTCCTGTAAGTCCTCATTACCTTATAGCAATGTAAGAACAACTTCATCCCTAAAAACCTCCATAGTCAAGGGTCAATTTAATCCACCCAAATAAGTAGTAATTGACTGCAATGAATAGTAATTGCCCAAGTCATCTCCACTCCTAAATTGAATTGCCTAGTCAATTCGTATTAAAATATTATTATTCTTTAAATAATGTAAAATAATTTTATTTTTAATTTCGAATAGAATTTTTTAACCAATCTTGTTACGCTATATGTCATTATTCGAAAGTACTATTTTTATGGATAGATTTCCGATAAGATTTTGAACCAATCTCGTCGCGTCATGTGTCATTATCTGTTTAGAATCCTTTATAATAGATTTTGATAAGATTTTCAACCAATCACATAGTGCCACGTGACATTATCCACAACCTCATCCTTTCTTTTTTGTCCATATAAAACCCTACATCCATCCTAATTCATACACAAAACTCAAACTAGCTCAGAATCCTAATTCATCCATCCTAATCCATATAAACCTTACATCCATCCTAATTCATACACACCGTAACATCTTCGATGAACGTCCAATTAGCCATTTTTTTTTCACACAAGTATATGGAAACTTTGGTTGAAAGTGTTGAAAATATTGAAATGTGGTGTAGGGTGGAAGATGATGGTTAGGTATTTATAGAAAATAATAATAAATTTTCGTTTATTTTTTCTGTATTTTTTAACAATTTTTATTAAGTTAAATAATTTGGACCGTTGAATTTCAAAAAGATTGAAATCCAACAGCCCAAAATTGGACATGTGACCAACGGTAAGATTTCTGACATTTTCCTATTTTTTTAAAATTATTTTGGCCGAAAAACATGGACCGTTGATCTAGAAATTGAACGGTCCAGATTTTGCCACGTGACTAGCCATTAGATTTCAAATTCAATTTTTTTATCGTTGGAAATCCAACGACCATCGTTGCGCCATGTGGCCCAAGTCCTGCATCCCAGTTAGTGCGCCTACAACGCACTGTCACGAACATGCTCCAGTAAAAATAAATAAAAATTTTATTCACATGGTTGACATTATGCTGACGTCAGTTTGACGTCATGTAGGCCGGTTTCTTGCTTAATTCATTTTGTGTTGGGCTCAAAGCTGGCCTCCACTTTGGGCCAACTAATTGGATGGGATGGAGTGGATTTTGGTGGTTTTGGGGGGGGGGGGGGGGGGCGGGGGGCAGCTAGGGGAAAATTAGGCTATAGCCCAGCTCATTTGTTAGGGGTGGACTTGCTCTAATATTCGAATTGTAACTTGATGTGAATGGTAGAAATTTTTCAGTGTACCAGAAACACAAGCTATTATATCTTGTGTCATTATATTAATAGTAGAAAAGATACATTTTTTAATGTCCCTCAACTTGTATCATGACATGTGGTGTATTGGGTTGTGTTTTCGTTACACGAAAAAATCTTCTCGTCTACGCAAAAGTAAGCGAGTCTAAAACTTAATTAAGAGAAGCAAGAAACTTGATTAAGAGGGGAAACTTGGAACAAATATGCTTCTAGCTCAAATTGCAGTCTTGTTTTTTTATTGTCACGTGCGTTTCAATTATGAATTTATCTACCCGAGTTATCCTATCTATAATTTCTCTTTTTCTTTTTTATTGTTTTTTTTGTTGTGGAATACAGCTTATTTTCCCTACAACAAAATAAAAGGGCAAGTTTCTTTTCTTGGTTAGCTTTCAACTTGCTTTGCAATTCGTTTGAGAATGTGAAGAATTATGGTTTGGATTAATGCGTTGGTATAAGCACTTCCAGAATTTTAACAAAAATTCAAATTCTTTCCTTCTTGAAAAATCTTGGAAGTATCTTATGAAAATAAAAAACTTCCACTCCCTTAATGTATTTCTTTATAAAACATTAAAACACTATTTCGGAACCAAAAAAACACTTGGATAATATAAAGGTCAATTACTTAAAATGATTCACTTTTAATATTTGGTTACTTTATATATATATATCTATGACATATCCATAACATCAAAAGACACAACCATGATATAACGACAAAATACTCAAAGTAAATCATTTTAGCAACCAAATGTCACAAGTTGATTATTTCAACCAAAAACTCAATATAAAACAACCCGCACATGGAAAAGTGACACACAAGACCATTAGGGGTGATTCAGGTCGGGATCTCGAACCAATTCCTTTCGGGACGGAATTTCAAAAACCGAAACCGAACCAAAATTTTGGTATTGTTGAAAATTTTGAGGTACGGTTCGAGAAAATTAAAGAAGCTTAAAAAATGAAGATATACAACGTATACGGACAATACCTATTTGAGAAAAATACTAAAATTAAAGCATGAAACACAAAAAGCAATTAAATTTATACAAACAAAGCTTAAAAAAGTAAAGGGTATTGGGAACTAATTAAACCTGAAGGAGAGAACGTCGAGACAAGAAAGAGAGAACGAGGCAAAGTGAGACTGTGAGAGTGAGGTGACTCAGGTGAGATCGAGAGAGTATGGGTAATGAATGAACGGTTGAGATTAAATCTCAACCAAATTTTACGGTCCACATAATTCTTAAACCTAATTTAAAATTAAATATATGTTTCGGTTTAGTTTGGGATTGCCGAATGAATGTATATAGGATCCCGAATCCTATACCGGATATCGAACGGTTTAGGAGTTTTGGTTCGGGACGTTTTCGGTTCGGTTCGGGATTTTCCATATTTTTTTTCACGAGCAAAAGGCAGCTATAATTACTATTCAATAATTACAATTTTACAAGCACATCTTGTTATGCTATATATGCTATTCATGCTTAACTTCATCTTTTCACCTCTGATTTCTTGGTTTAGTTTTT